CATTGCCAAAGAACAAGCCCTCGTGCCAACCCCCCCCCCCCCCTCCAACAACTGAATTTTCATCATTTCAGTCTTTAAACGATTCACATTAGGGGGGTTCTTAATTGTATATAACTTGTGTGTTTGTGGGTGAATTTGCAGCAAGCAGACAAATGACAGTGACACACTATAAAGGCAGCATTCGTTTCTGTTTTTGCCGTCTCACCTTTTGCTTTTCTTGTGTTTCACGATAGCATTCCTCGCCACGAGAGGTTTCCATTTGAACTTTGGCTCTCAGCTGCAGTATCTGGTAATGTGTAAGTCATTCCTGTAGATACTGTTACTACCCAGGCACAGTTTTATGGTCATTTATCCTTTACACTGAAGTATTCAGCAGGCCTTACTACTGCTATTTGGAACATGTATTGGTGCAGTTTAATAACAGAAAAAAAAAATCATGATTGTAATGTTGAATCTTGTGTTAATAGATGTAATTTGTGTTGTGAGTTTTGCAGTATATGGTTCTACACGTTTAATGTGAGATTGTACATAGGTTTTGTGAGTTGTTGAGTTTAAATTTGTATATTACCAGTTGTGTTTTGAATTTATCACTCCAGTTTTTGTACATCAGATGTTTTGGTGAATGTGAACCTTTCTTTTGTTTGAAAAGGGAATTTTTTGCAAAAACATGAACACCACAGAACAAACTTTTCTTTACTAAATGTATTATACTCGCCAAGTCTTTGTGGAGGAAGTGATAAAATGTTGGATCCCCTTTTGCTTCCAAATCTAACATCCCGAATTCAGCCCACCTGATCTATAAAGGGAATGTAGGAACGTGTTGTGGGGTGTTCATGTTTTTGAGTTTAAAAGCACTTTATGTTTTCTTTTTCATTTAGCTCTTATTTGGTTTGAAATTGTGTCAGACTTGTACTGGTTAAAAAGGTTGAACAAAAAAAAAATAGCTGAATGGGAAATGCCAGACAGATCAAACTGTGTTTGTATGTAAAGCAAATGTTGTGCCACACGCCAGCTGTTTATAATGTAAATTATTTATTGAATAAAAGAAAATGTCTTGTTAAAGAAGTGCCCTTTTGTCTCATTTGCTGTTGCTGCAAGAGCTTTTTTTGAAATCACCATGTGTTACTCACCGCAGTTTGTGGTGTTTGACTGCCCCCTGTTGTAAAGATGTGGTGATGAACGTGAGCAGATGTTTGTGGTACATGAGGACATCTTGGTAAAAAAGAAAACTTAAAAGCTTTGTATAAAGGAGCTGAGTAACTTTTAGGAAAGTATAAGTATGATTGTTCAATGCAGGGTTAGGGTAATGTGTCGTGTCTTTACAGCTTCAAGCACACTTTATGATTAAGGATGTGTCCAAGATTACATTCACTTCACTATATTGTAGTATGCAAAAGGGTGTTTATATATTAGAATTCCCCCATAATTCTGTTGACAGTTTCAAACATGCTTTGAGATGTTGTTCATAAACAATTTAAATGAGTTAAAGACAGATATGGTAACCATTTTAAGTGACAACCATCTGTGGAGGCCCTAAGATATTATTTGAAATATTCAACTAAATACTAAATTCTGTCTAGTCATTTCACAGCTCAGTTGCTGCAGTAGGTTACTTTTATAAAAAATAATGTATCATTTGTGAAAATGTTAACAGCGTCCTGAGCAGTACATCAGGCAGATAATCTGAAAAAAACAGGTTCCTCTGGCTCATTGTAGCTTCTAATGGCATTTGCGATTGCTTGGATGAAAACAACCAATCAGAGCAGAGAAAGATATAAAGATGCTTTGGGTTGGTGGCTTGAGGATAGTTGATTTTTAAACTATCAGCTATCTTCCTTGGCTCTGATTGGTTGTTTTCGTTCATTAGGAGGAGCCAGAGGAACCAGATTTTTTCAGATTCTGTCTCAGGTACTACGGTCAGGATATAATGAAAGTTTCAGCAATTTAGTTATTTAAGTAATTTTTTATAATGAATGTGGCAAATGTGACCATCAGGAAGAATCCCACTAACCTATACATTTGATTGTATTCATGCTGAATCCATTATTTCCGAAAGTCTGGAAAGAGTGTAGCTGCTGCCTCTTCTGGCCACCTGACTGACTTACAAGAACTCACTTGGAGACATTTATAAATGCCTGCCCTGAAACATTTCTGTGTCTTTGCTGACGAGATGATAAATGATGCAGTTGATGCTAAATTGCAATATCAGGAGGGAAAAGAAAGAAGACATTGTGTAACAAAGTTTATTACATATGTCCAAACATATGTACAGCACATTTCTCATGAAGAGTGGTTTTGTCACAAATATAAATTATTTTGACTTTCTTAAAGAACATATGATACAGGAACTGTAGCTTGCTTAACGAGGAAGAAAAGAGGTGCTGGCTGTTCACTGTAACAAGTCGATTAAGTGCCCTGGACGAAACACACATGATTTCTGTATATCAATGTTTATATCTTCCCCTCAAATCATCAACTCTTTTGGAAACTACACGATGATTACCAGAATACATGGTCCCTTCACCTGTTCTCACTGAATTATTTAGTCATTCAGAGCGATTTCCTTAAAATGTGACTTTAATACTTCACATCCTGCCTGTGTTAGACCCCAGTACTGCCCATGGACCAATATACAGTATGATAACACACACATAAATAAGGCACAAATGGAGAAGCATTAAAAAAAACAATTGAGGGTCAGAGCAGGACCAGATTTGGCACAGGAAAATAGTGACCAAAGGTAATAAACATAATGAAATGTCATCAGCAACTTCCTGGTAACCTTTTAACCTACCAGCAACAAACCATAGATTACGACAGGAAAATGTTTTTATCACATAGTATTTTTCAGACATAATTGAGTACTTACATACAGTTGGTGGAAAGATGGGTGAAATGACTAAACTATGCGGAAGTACCATTCTTAACCATCATAATACTGACAGGCAAAAATAAAGGATAGCTCTAAGACATAGTGTTATGAACCTTTGCACAAGTTGTTGCAATAAATACTGCTTACAAAGCTTCCAATTCATTGGGCCTACCAAGAGGAAAGTGGTTAAAGTGAACAAAGCAGAGGATTGCAATGATTTATATAGCTACACAAGTAGAGAAATAATGATTATTTGTACATGTGAGAAATATGAGTTTGCTAAAACAGGTTCACACTTTTTTTTGTTGTTGTTGAGTGCTTTAGAGAAAGCATACTGGCTTCAATGATCATTCAAATTTCAAAAAGAATTAGGCGGTCCCATCACACCACCATTTTAACCCACACGGTGATACTCAGCTACATGTTCAGGATTAACATTTCGAAGGTGCAGATGATAACACATTGCACATTTTGTACTGAATCATCTTCTAAATGACATCATTTGCAAGACTTAAAGCTAAACACAAAAAAAATAATGTCCATGTCATACGTCCTTTGGGAAAAAATCCCATACATTTACCATTCGAAAAGGCCAAAACCTTCAGGCACTTTTAGGATTGAGATCAGTCAGCAGTTCATGTATCCTAAATTCTCCTTAGCTAATAGTCCATGGGACTAAGCATCCATCAGCGTTCCACTCAGTCTTAGTCATGGTTGACTGATCGAGTCAATACATTTAAATAAAGATGCTTGTTTTAGTTTTTTCTTTTTCATCGTGAAGATGACGGGGGAAACAAACTTCTTCCTTCAGGGCACAAATCATTCACAGCCAGAGTCGCTGGAGGAAAAGAGCAGAACAGTTTTGCTGGTAAAGAGGGTACAAAGTTCATTCCCTTTCCAACTGTGAGCTTATGATTGGTGAGTCCAGACTTGTCCATCAGCAGCATGTGGCTTTGACCCTGGACAATAACACACAGATCAGTTTCGCAGCCAGCACTGGCACACTTTATGTTTTCCTGTTGTTCCAGTTCGGATCTGCTGCAGTGTTTGGCTCTACGGGGCGCTCGGGCGGAGAGCGGGAGTCCTGGGGAGACTTCTGAGCCTGCGGGGAGCGAGGGTCCAGCAGCGGTGGAGGTTTGTCAGGGTGGAAGGGCCTGCTATAGTGCTCTGGCCCGGGTGGACCTGCTGGCCTGTGCTCTGGCATCCTCCTGAAGTCCTGCAGAGGGCCATCTCTTCCCTGGTGGTAGTTGGGACGGAATTCATCGCTGCGTCTTCTTTTGGGGTCTGGATGCCTGAAATATCATTTATAGCATTTTTAAGTGGTATGACACAATAGTTCCCTAATACTCAAACAAAAACATGTAATCCGGGTTGAAGTAGCCCACCTGTCGTAATAAGGTCTGTGACCCCTGTGGTCCCGGTCGTTGCTGTACTGGTCATATGGCCTTTTTCGAGGGGAGCTGTTGTTGCGGTAACTGCCTGAGCTGCGGTACGAGTCTCCATGTGAACGTCGATCACCATAGTGATCCTTGTAGCGATGTGGCTCATAGGGATGATGTCTGTCTCCCTGCCATGACTGGTTGCTGTTACCTGGGTAGTTGTATTTACGGTCCCTCTGCCAGTCTCCCCTATCTGTAATGACACATTTAAAAGCAGTTGTTAAAACACCCAGCTTCAGTTAAAGGAAAGTTTAACATTTTGGGGAAATACTCATTGACCTTCCTGCCGAGAGTTTAATGATGAGATTGATACCACTGTCTGTCGGGTGAAAGTGAAGCTACAGTCAGGACATGGTTAACTTAGCTTAGCACAAAGACTGGAAACAGCTAGCCCAGCAAAAAAAACCTGCCTACCAGAGCCTCTGAAGCTCTCCGGTGCTCGCTCTGTTTGGCATGTTCTGTGCCTTAAACTAAAACAATCCCGTCCGCACATACCATCATTGCCAAAGTGGCGCTTATTAGCCACGTTGTACGGTTCTCTGTGGTGTCCGTGTGTGCCTGGCTGACTCGAGTGTGAAGCAGATTTGGCCGATGGCTGAGTACCCGTGGAGTCTCGACTGGAACCAGACGGCTCCGGTCTGAAACTTTTGACCCTCCCTGTAGGATCCTCCTTCTTCTTCTGTTCCTTCTGGAAATGTCACAGGATATTTTTTTTTTTTCAGTGTTTGCGATTTACAAAAGATCATGTTCGCTTTATAACACTTTGATAAGGCCGAGTTAACAATGAGAAAGAGGAACAACTTGCCTCTTCCTCGTGGGATCGCTTCTTCTGAGCCATTTTGTACAGCTTGTGAAGCTTCCTTGCACCGAACTCTGTAAACTTAGACACAAATATCCAGAGGTTTCTGCCAAAAAAAGGGCACAAAAGAATAATTAGCAGAGATAAACGGGAGAGTATTGTGATTCATTTCACCAAGATGATATCTAATCATCACACCTTCGCCATATTTTGACATGTTCTGGGTCGCTGTAGGCTTTAAGGCACTCTGTGATTCGGTCTCCAATCTTCAGTAGGCACGTGCGAGTGTGCTGGAGCTGCTCCTGGTCGGATAGACCCTCGTCTGGTTTATCCAACTGCTTTAGGGCCTTTTTCACCGGCCTCATGCGCTCCTTACACTACACAGAAGCATACATTTTTTTATTTTTTAAATAAACTGCTTGTTAATGATAAGAAAACTACAACACGTACACAGCTCTCACACATCAAACTCCACTGGCTTAATCTTTGCACGAGAATGAAAGAAACTCACAATACTGAAAGTCTCCTGGTCGAGTTCATCATCCTCCTTTCCTTCAATGGGGACGGGCTCAGACCCAGCCGTAATGTGGACTGGACCTTGAGTCTTCTTCCCTTTGCCTCCTTTAGCCTGAAAGACAAAAATACAAGACATCATGACAATTAAGCTACATACAGTCATACATTTAAAAGATTATTCACAGCATTCTAGCTATGTTCTTTTAGGCTCGTGTAGCATTTTAATGCTATAATGTAAGTTTGAAACAGTTTGAGCAAAGCACATATGATCCGGTCACGAATACTTTGCTGAAGTACCTTTTCTTTTCTGGGTTTGGTACCCTTTTTATCTTTGTCCCCGTCCTTGTCCTTTTTAGGAGTTCCCTGTTTTTCTTTGTTCTCTTTGTTATCCTTTTTCTTTTGTCTTTTCTTGGCGGGGGACTTCTCTGTTCCGTCGTCCTGCTCAAACACGAGAAAAGACAATGTATGTTAAACAATATAACAGAAGACACTTAAGATCCGTTTCAAACCTACACATGTGAACATTATGTTGGGGGTTCTGGATGAAAAAAATGATGTCAGATAATTAATACGATTATTCTGTTATGTCAAATATTTATATTTAAAGCCCAATCAAGAACTAATCTGAATTTAAGTTGTTTTTTTTAAATACAGGGTATTTGAATCACTGATCATATCAACTTTGTTTTGTCTTTTGTTTACTTTATTTATTCTTTTACTTTTGTCCAATTCTTTTTTTTCCCTTGCATTACATTGTTTTTTGTGATACATGTATTATTTGCCTGTAATAAATAAATAAAAACAAAACCAAAACAGATGGTTATACAGCAAGTGAGGAAGAGTGTTCACTGAATATAGCATTATTCTGCTTATTTAGAAAACTAAATCTGAATTACACCTCTTTGTTAAGGCGTTGAAGTGGCCTGATTTATAGTTTGCTGTAGTGCTACTACACCAACGCAAGATGGTAATGTGGCATACCAACAGGCAATGTGTGCATTTCATTTACTTTAAGTAAAACAGAGCAGCAGGGGCACTGAGGACAAGGTTTGCAGTTGGAATGGCTTTGCTAGGTTACAAAATCAAATTTGTTTATTAGTAAAAAGTAGATTTTTTTTGTTGTTGTTTTTAATGTCAACTAACACTACTAATAAGTTTGGCCACTAATTTAGGAGGCTACAACGAGACCCGGCACAAACCTCAACACACTGTGGTGTTCCAGTGGTGATCGTATGACTGACCTTGACTTCGCCCTCCTCCGATGGGTTGTCGGACAGGCGTGGGGAGGAGATGTCGTTGCCTTGCTCATCCTTGAGAATCTTGTTCTCCTTTTTCACCCGAGGCTTCCTCTTCCTCACTTTGACCTTTAGAGGAAGAGACTGGATGAGCTGTGTGGGTGGGTTGGTAGGTCGCTTTGCGCGGATCAAAGGCAAACTTCATGTTGTGAAAACAGTATGGATGAGTTACTCAGTGATTAATAGCTGCATACCTCCTCCCCTGTTTTGGAGTCTGTGCTGTCTTGTTCTTTTTTCAGCAGCTTGAGGAGATACTCGGCTCTCGCCTGCAACTGCTTGCCCTGAGGCTTCTTGCTCGGATCGTCAGGGAGAATCTGTGCGGAGGGAAGTAAATGTGAGGTAGAAGTGAAAGACTGCAGCCGCGTAAAGGTTATTTTTCAAAGCTTTTACAATATTTAAAAACAGGCCAGTGTGGGTCCAAGTTAATAAGCTGAGTTAATAAGCTTGTGTTTTTATACTGTCCTTAATTAGAGATAGATTAGAGAGATGTTTACCTTATCAGCGAGTTTGAGGTCAGGATCCGTCTTGATCAGATCCCAGTTGCCAAAGCCGTGCTCGTAGATACCAAGCAAGAGCTGAATGTCATCCTGCAGTTCCCAGTCTACATCAAAGTGGGCTACCTTTACTCTGCATGTCAGTTTGAACCTGTGAGAAACAGAAACTTTGTCGTATTTAATCTGCAACACAGGTGCATTTTTTAGAACATTTTATCATACAAATCCAAAGCCTGTGCTCCCCCCCTTGTAAAGCGGTGGTATCTTACTTATTTCTCTCAGCAGGGTTGGAGGGCACTCCTTTGTGCAGAGGTTCGAACTCTTCCTCGTGCTGGATGATGGACTTGGCATTGACCTGCACTCCGGAGATTTTGATGTTGATTCCTCGCCGTTTCCCAGGACCTTTGGCTGGAATAATAACGTGCATCAATTTTTGGGGGGGCCTGTAAAAAATGCTATAATTTAAAAAAAAAAACCTAAACACGTAAAAACCAACAATACCTTCAACTGGGTTCTCTTTGAGGTGTTCCTCGTGCTCCTGCACAGCAGTCACACAACTGTTATGAATCAGTTCACCAAGTCTCTTCAGGTCTGCTATGGATTTGTCAACCAACTCCGAGTCTCGGGCGATGGCCTCCAACCTGGAGACAGAAAAGAGAACTTGACTGCATGGTTTGTCAAAGACCTTAATTTTTCATACTTCAAATCAAATGGTATTATCATGATTAGTATTATCAGTTAACAATATGCTTACCTCTCAAGTGGACATCCAAATTTCTTGTATGCCTTAATGAACCTGTTAATGATATATTTGAATGAATAAATTTGATCTTTGTTCATGAAAGGAAACAAAAAAAAAACGAATAAAAAGTGTAGAAAAATGCTCAATACTTTACCTGCGTATCTCTGCGTCAGTGAAACCCTCCACATTGTTTTTGCGGGCTCTGGGTCTGCCCCTCTTCTTTGGCTTCTTGTCGTCATCACTATCATCAGTCTCGCTCTCAGAGCCCGAGGAGCGGTTCTTCAGCTTGGAGCCCACATCACTATCACTGTCATTGGCCTGAGCCTGAAAGAACCAGAACAACACTTCATGACCTGATTCAAATGGGTTGAAAGAGAATCCAAGAGATACCAGTGCTGGAAATGGGCAAACAACCTTTTTTTTCTCCCTCTCTCAAATCAATCTGTAAACTCTTCTCTTACCCTCTTGTTAGAGCTCCTGCTCCTGGGCAGCATGAAGATGTCCTCCATCTCCCGCTGCTTCTCCTCCTCCTCAATCTTGCGTCGCTGCTCTTCAGGGATGATATCGTCCCATTCCCGTATGGACTTCCCCTCACTCAACTCCGGAGTGCTCTCTTCCTGAGTGGTGAAATTGGCCACCTGCAGCAACACGTAGGGGCGAAAGAAAGAAAACAATTAAAATTAGGATAGGATTTGAAAGGGAGTAATGTCTGACTTTGACATGACGGTCTAAGTGTAGGTCTTTACAATAATGCAACATTACAAAACAGTAACAACTCCCAGGTACCTTAAACTGAGATAGAAGTTCATCTGTAGCACTTGAGCCCTGGTCACTTTCTCTCGTTTCAGCCAACCTCAGGATCTCATCAATATCCATCTCCTACAGAAACAAAGAAATCCTGGTTTCATTTTACAAATATGTAACAAGTATTTTTCATGCATGGAAGATATTCAGTCATTTTAATACCTGTGGTTCTGACTCCTCTCCCTCTGCCTCTTTGAAAAGCTCCTCTGCACCGAACTTGAGGATGGCAGTCAGTTCTTCCTTATTGAATGGGTTTGAACTGCGAAAAAGCAGCAATGTTAAATACAGAGAGAGTTTCAGTATCTCAATATGAACTAAATCAATCAGCAAAAAGCCTGTAACTCGATTCTCTCTCACTTTGTGTTTCCTGAGTTGGTCGAACTGTCAAGTACAGTTCGACCAGTGGTGTCCATTCTCTGAATGACAAGATGGTCCAAAACCATCTTCTTCTTTGCCCTCTCAATGATGTCCTCCTCCACGGTTCCTTTGGTGACCAGTCGATAAATATTCACCTATGAATAGGAAAGCGTAGATTAAGTTTTCTTACTTACTATACAATGATCGTATCAGATTTGCTGTGTGAAAGTCATCAATTTAAGCCGTGGATTACCTGTTTCTTCTGGCCGATCCTGTGCGCCCTGGCTTGTGCCTGCAGGTCGTTTTGAGGGTTCCAGTCAGAGTCGAAGATGACTACAGTGTCTGCTGAGGCCAGGTTTATCCCTAAACCTCCAGCTCTGGTGGACAACAGGAAGCAGAAGTCCTAGAAAGCAGAAGAAACTGTTACTACAGATCTCATCAAGCAATACGCCTAAGCACACACTAACATTTGTAAATTGCATTATATATAATAAGAACAAAATAGGGAAATCATGAATCCAACTTACTGCAAACCTTACTTTCTTTCAAGAAACCATGTTTACTTGATCCTTTTTGCACCATTTGTCAAATATATCCTTCACCTCCTACCGCTCTCAAATAAAGTAGTCCAAAAAACAAGCACAAAAATGTACTGTATTGTTTGTTTAAAACTGTCTTGTTTCAAATAAGACTCTGCCAAGACTGCTTTTTGTGATATGCTTAATATGCTAACATTATAATATATGTGGTGTGCATTTGACAATAAATGTATTACTTATATTAAGACACTAAAAAGGTCTTATTTACTGCAGTTTAATTAAAAAACTGCTGTTTACAGACTGGGAATTTCCCTGTCTATCAGTCGGTATCATTAGTAGTCATTAGTATACACACCTCTGAGCCTTCTGCATTGAAGTGGTCGAGTGCTTGCTTTCGGATTTCTCCCTTTATGGAACCATCCAACCGCTGAAGAGAAGAGAGGCAAACAGAGAACCACAACTTTGTAAGATTTCCTGGGCAGCTATTTGCTGTAACCTTGGCATCACTTTGCTCTACACGCCTTAGTACCCTAGTCTTTATGCTCCGACCGATCACAATAGTCTACGCCAAAGACTATGTCAGCAAAAACAACCCGAGTAGAATGACTTGCAGGAGTTCAGCTGGTCTTTAGCAGAAAATAACTTGTTGATATAAATAACCACATGATCTCTCAGCCTGGCGGAGTATGTGTGCAACAACACTGACATTTAATCCTCATCCAAGTCCAACCCATCCAACAGCCCTATCTCTGTAAACACCAATAAAGACAACAGTCAAAAACTGCCTCCATAAACTGTCAGTGTAGACACAGTTTCTCTAGATACTGGTGATACAGCATAGAACATGTTAGTGGAACCCGATGGAGGTATACTATCATTAACACTGACAGGGTAACAGCACTATATGTACATACATTTTTCTGCAAATAATGAAAAAAGGCACACAAAAACTGGAAAATCACTTCAGATTAGCAGAAAGTAATTTTTTTTTACTTTTGATCCAAGAAACGTTAATGAGCAGAGAATTGTGTACATGATGTCCTTACACATCATACTGTACCCCTGCCCACCTTTGAGCAACCACAAACTCATACCAGGTGGAATTGGTTTTCCTACGTTGATGCAAACTACAGCACCTCTTAGAGTGACAACAATTCCATACAGTGGAGTGTTGCCCTGACACAGAATATTGTTTTGCACGCAAGCTGAGGTCCTGTGTAGTAAAGAAATGCAGAATGCAGCCTTGAAAACGTGCCAAGCTTACCTGGAATGGGTAGCGATTCTTCGCAAGGTATTCAGCTAGGATGTCCAACATCCGGACCATCTGGGAGAAGATCAGGACGCGGTTGCCTCTTTCTCGGAGTCTGGTCAGCAGTTTGTCCAGCAGCACCAGCTTCCCACTGCCCCTCACCAGACTCTAAAATATAAAAAAGAAAAAAAAGGTGTGAACATAAAGTTCCAGACAGATTAAGTAGCCCCGGGTCTCCTGTTAGGACTGTCATGTTATGTCAAAACTAGTTTATTTTTTGCAGAGCAGATATATCCTGAGGTGTTGCTGGAAGCTAAAGAGGGTTCATGAGGAGACTTACCTGCAGGTGTTCCTGTTGTGTTTCATTTTCTACATCTTCAGGCTGTCTAATGAGGAAACTGTGGTTGCAGCACTTTTTAAGCTCCATAACGATGTTCAGGAAGCCAGAGGAGCTGCCTCGGGTGCCTTTGGAAAGGGCTTTGTAATTCCTCGTTAAAATAAACCTGAAAATATTGAGGAACAAATCAAGTTAATGGAGAGGAGAAATACAGCTTGCACTTGAGGTTTGTGTAAAAGACGGATGTAAAGAACAGGTTTCAGGAGACAAATAATATCATACTTGTAGAATTGTTTCTGCTGTGCAGTCATGTCTACGCGGAGGATCTGTTCCACCTTGGCAGGGAGAGATTTTTCCACGTCTTTCTTGACACGTCGCAGAAGGAAGGGTTCTAGGACTTTGTGAAGACTCTGATAACCATTATCCCTTCCTTTCCCGTGTTCGTCCTCAAAATCCTCCCAGGAATCAAACCTGCAGTGGACAACAGAGATAAGAAATGTCACTCATATCCGGCTAGAATTCAAACTGATTTTTCCCTGCTTTTGTTCGCTTTATTGAACGTCTAAATCGGGACGTACTTGTCAGGCATGAGGAAGTGCAACAGTGACCAGAGCTCTTTGAGGGAGTTCTGCAGCGGAGTGCCAGTAATGAGGAGTCTGTGGTTGGACCTGAACTCCATTAACGATTTGTACAGCAGGGAGTCATCATTCTTCAGCCTGTGAGCCTCATCCACGCCCAGGAACGCCCAGTTGATGTTCCCAAGCACGCCCTGGAGAAAAATGAAACAAAGTCCTTGTTAATCAAAGTGACTGATTCTCTTCCTGCAGAGACACGCTGCAATAAAAACACAAACATAAAGAAATACTGATCATTGCACCTACCTTGTCTTTAAGTAGAATTTCATACGTGGTTAATAGTGCATTGAAACGGATTCTTTTCGTTTGATGGTTCACCCACTCGTAGTCACGGATCTATACAAAAACAGAAGCAACCGTGTAAGTTTATGTAAGCGACTCTGGAGAGAACACCAGAGACAGCAAAGCCCTGCACATTCAACCTACTGTTTTCCTGCTCATGACGTCACCGAGGTAGACCACCACGTTCATGTCCGGGGCCCAGGTGTCGAACTCCCTCTGCCAGGAGGTGAGCGTGGACAGAGGCACCACCAGTAGGAAGGGCCCGTACAGCTGGTGCTGGTGAAACATGTAGGACAGGAAGGAGATGGTCTGGATGGTCTTTCCGAGCCCCATCTCATCAGCGAGGATAACACTGTTACACCTGAGGACGAAGAATCATTAAAAAAAAGGATGGTTTTCACCTTTTTCTAAATTTTTTCAAAACCAACACGAATTATTGTATTTATTTACACAGTACCTGCACCAGGAGTGGGCCAACCAGTTCAACCCATCCAGCTGATAATCTCTCAGCTGAAGGTTCTCATCTCCAATATATGGTGGTTGTTTCTTCAGAGCAACGAACCTCGGTCTTTGCTTTAACACCTGAAATGATAGTTGGGAGGTAGTTAGTTAAGGAGGAGAAAAACATAACTGTTTTAAAAAAAAAATTCAGATTCAATTAATATCAAATAAAAGGGAGGCGATTAAAAGATTCGACTCTTTACCTTGCAGTCTTTAGAGGGGACGGTTTTACAGGAGTTTCTGTTCATGAAGCTGTCAATGCAGGGCTGAAACTTCTTTCTAACCAAAGCTCCATCTTCCCAGCTGCACTCTGAATAGGGCAAGCCCATCCACTTGCATAGATACTCTGGCTCATTGGAGGATGATGTCTTATGACTGTGAGCTGTTTAAAAAGGCAGGCAAATTACTACACAACCTAATACTTGATGGAAATGTATAGTACAGGAGAACATTAAAAAGGACAGAATGTAACAGTGATGGTGAAAAATGAAGACAATGGACTTACAGGGGAAGTCAGAGGATCCTGGTGTCTTTCCTGTCTTTGTTGCTGTTAATTAGAAAATTCCTTTTAGTACAAGTTCAACGCATATTTAACAACCTTATCTGCAGCACTGCATTTGATACTGAATTCTTACCGATAACGCGCTCCACAAAATGAAACTGCTTGCTCAAGTCAGCAGTGAGCTCCTGTTGGCAGTTATGAAATTCTATATCCTCAGGGGACGCCTTGTTCAACCTACAGACAAGCACGGAGCAAAAAGTTAAATCTTTCAAAAACAACTTACCTTTGCAAATAAAGTGTTAATGCGAAGACAAAGATTCTCACCATGAAGTTAGCTCTTCGTGTTTCTTCTTATAGTTGTCTAGTTTCTTTAGTCCCTTGACCTTCTGCTGCGTCAGAGAGTCCATGCTCTCCCACGTGTTGTGGATGTAGGACCAGCCCTTCCACTTAATCAGATACTGAGCCTCTCCCTCATCTTTCTCGGGGTCAAAGCCTTCACTCGGGTCCCCGCTTTCCTCCACAGCATACACAGTAGTAGAAGCCCCAGTGGCTAGAGGAGCAGAACAAAAAAAGAACTTTTAGACTTCAAAACATGTGGCAAATATTTTGATAGGGAGCAACGTGGTTTTTAAAATATTAGGACTCAAGTTAAAATGCATCACCTCCTTTTTTGCCTGTCCTTGTGTCCATAACCCTCTCAATGGTCTCACTGTCATCATCCTGCTGCTCCTCGCCTGCTTCTCCCGTCATTTCAATCAAGTCGTCAGAGTCGGTTTCAAAGTCATGTTGGTCCTCTTTATAACTGCAACACAACAGAAGATAACAGATAAGGACCAAGTGGATACAGGTGACGGATCAATATGAAAACTGTGCAGTTGCTAAACTTTTGAACGCCCGTTGGGATGGAATACATTGGCCTGGAGTCAAAATGTCCCTGTCTAATGCTTCAATGTAAGGACGAGCTTGCACCAACGATAATTCAAAATCTCGGAGTTCAGAAATGCACCTTTTGACTTTGGTTGCGCCCCTTCTTCGAGTCTGTCTCTTGGGAGTGTCTTCCTCATCATCCTCATCATCCTCGTCATCTTCCTCGTCATCATCTTCTTCAGCGGATGAGTCCTGCTTCCTGGACTTCCTTCCCTTTTGGGACAGCTGCTTTTTGACTGCTGATTTGGTCTGAGGTCTGTAAGCACAGAAACACACAAACTACTTAGACACAAACCAACCTCAGGGATCATTGGCACAGTGATTTTGGTTTCTGGTCGACTGGCAAACTGCAGCAAACGACTGGTGGAGCATTTTTTGTATCATGTTTTATGATTAGATTCAATCGTAGATCTATTTTAGACTAAATTTTTAGAATAAAAAAAAAAATTAGGTCTATATATACACCAAAGTAAATGGAAAAACAACTGCTTACACAATATGAAATGATTTGGAGATGACCAGTGGGTAGCTGTCTGATGGCCAGGCTTCGCTACACTCTTACCTTCTAGCAGGAAGTCGTCTGGATCTAACTTTTTTCTCTTCCTGCTCACTGTCTGTAATGTCGGTAGCCTCCTCCTCCTCCTCCTCTTCATCATTTGAGTCATCATCTTTCCAGATATTTCTTACAACAAAGAAATGCCACAAGTTCACCCTCAAGGCCCACCACTGCTGGAACCAATTTCAAATTTCATGAAATACTGGTCACGGGGTGTTCACCACAACCCAGTGTGATCAGGGATAAGCCGCTGATCTGACCAATCAGATTGGATTTAAATGTAGAACATCACCTGACTGACTGAAACTAACAGCCCATTTGGAGCAAACAGATACCCAGTTACAAACAACCTTAAAATGATAAGAATCACAATATGAACACAGACTCGCAACACAATGAAAAAGAACAGACATGAACTGTGCAAAACTACTGTATGGATCGAGTGTTGAATGCCAAAAACCTTGCTAACGAGAGTTCAGCCACAACATGGCAGAGTTGAAAAAATATGGTGCAGTACTATCAAATACATCTGAAATAAATAAAATATTAATAAAACAGATGTTCACATTCTTCATACTTACTCTTTTTTCTTGGCTCGTGGTGTTTTTCTCTTCGGACTTTCACTCTCAGACTCACTGCTACCCTGTAAATACAGACAGCACAGCAGATACACGTTTCATCAAGAAATGTAGCCGCACTTTTTCATGACGTCCACTAGATGGCACAAGTGGCTTGTTTAGAGGAGCTGATAGCAATAGTGGCAATTGTATGGAGCTTGTCTTCAAGCTTTCTTTCACAGCTGCTTACCCCAGCTCCAATGTTTAAACGAGCCGGCTCCTGTCTACTGCGATTTGACCTCCTAACCCCATACACGTCTGGATGTTCGTCCCACATCTGTAAAGAGAGATCAACTGCTGTCAGAGACTGTTTTTCTGTCTCATTATACAAATCGAACATCCCAATTCCATTACAAATTATAATTAACATGCATGTGCTATCTGGCTGCCACTTCATTTAGTTATCGATTAATCTGCTGTCCCAGGCGACATTTCAAATGTCTCACTTCGTCTGACCGACAGCCCAGAACCAAGCAATTCAGTTTACATTTATATAAAACTCAAAAAATTCACACTTGATTTTTGAGTTAATTTTGAGTATTATTTGTCTGTCTGTCACCTAATCAATTATCATATGAACTGGGCCATACGCTAAGTGTCATAGTATACTGCTTTAGCAGTCAGAAAATCACATATTTTACATTTTTGGAAGGTTTTTAAAAAGTTTTCCTAGATGTTTCTGTAGCCATCTATCTCTATCTTACCACCACCTGCTGCAACTCTCTAGCTGAGTAGTGCCTCCATTTCCTTTGGAAATTGCATTGTGGAACAATGGTATACTTCAACAGCACATTAAAAGTGAATAAGTGTATACAGGTCAGTGTGCCCACACTGCACTCAAAACCTGATGAGAATTGGTAACAAGCATGGAACTGGGACACAGCTAAAATAGATAAAAAGGACAATATGGCTGAAGTAAATCTTGCTTAACACCAGTTGCAGCTACAACTATCATACAGGAGCACGTCAAACCTTGATAATCACATTATGAGCCTGATTGCACAACAAGGTTAACTCAATCTCCATTACAAGAGGACAGGAACACTAATGTGCTTCATATAAACGGTAAGTCAGAACAGAAGACTTGGGTACCTCTCTAAAGCTCAGCGACCTTTACCTTCTTCACATCTGCCAGACGCTCCTTCTTCCTAACTGGTTTGTCTTTGACTTCTGCTGTGGTTTGCTGTGATTTGGACTCTGCAGACTCGCTCTCTGACTCTGAGTGACTCTCTGACTCTGAGGAGCTGTTTGACTCGGAGTTGTGGGATCTCCTCCTCTCGCTGCCATGCTCGCTCTCTGACTGACTTCCGGACTCCGATGCAGATCGGTTGGATTCCTCTGAAGCTGAATTGCTACAGGAGCAAGAACACGTTGATTCTTTCCATTTTGCATTGCACATGTATTTGCTTACACAACTCTGCACACCCAACAACAACACAGCAAAACATGTGAGCGGAGTTGATAGTGGCAGTAACTGAAAAATGTCTTAAAATTCAAACTCAAAGTGCACACACTGTCACCACGACATGGAGAAAGTGCAAGAGCTTGATGGCATGAGGAAGTTGTGACTGTCAGCTGAGGGGAAACAGAAACCTCATTACATCATGCAGCATGTTCCTTACTCAGCTAACAGTCTTAGAATAACCCCATTCTCTCTAGGGCACACAAATCCTCTGTCATTTTGAAAAGCCTAAGATCTGCTGTATCAACACTAAAATAACATGTTAAAACTGAGCAAAGCTGTAAGTATTAAAATCTTTCCTCTCTGCTAACCTCCAATTACCTGTGGCGTACAGTTTAGTAGTAATATCATCAGAAAAAGCTACAATGGCCATAATTACTTTATAATGTTATCCAGAGAGATAAGAATAATTGGACAGCACCGTACATTTGCATAAGTGCTCCCACTCTTTGTCACCTATGTCGTATCCTCATTAAACGTTTAGTGGGGGAATAAGAACCTAAAGACTGACTGATGAATATGAAACAATGAGTCCAGGGCATAATGCAACTAGTTCCTAACCTTTATAGCTTCTGACTGAAGCAGTGTTTACTTATGACCCCTCATCACAGGTTATGGCTTCAGCTGAATATGAGTTGTGATCAGTTTAACAAGATTTTCATTTTTCTTTTCAGATTTTATTTTATTTGAAGTATTTTTAGCCTAAAGAAGTAAAACTATTCAGGATTTCACAAGAAAACAGAAAATAGAGACATTATTATCATTATTATGTGTTTTGTTAATTAACATTTGTATATATTGAGTCTTCTTTTGAGGTTCAAAACCTGTGGCTGGTAACATCATTTATTCAGAAAACTGCGTTAGAAACCCCTTTGTAAACAACATGGTACATCTCACGGGGTAGATCTCGATGCATATAAATCAAAATAATTTTAGACAAATACATAAATTACTTCTACAATAACTACAACAGACCGTAGCAGATATGTTGAGATGACAGCACATTAATGTGATGGGGGTCATCAGTGGATAAAATATCTAGCTTGGTATGGTGACCTCTCCTGTCCAGTCTTCTGCAGTACCTCGTCTGGGCACATGGGGGTGCTACAACCATTCAAAATAAACCTCCTGGAGTCACTACCCTACATAGATCACATAGATTTGGGTTTTCAAGATTAAAATTAGTATTTACGCTTAACCTTAATTTCATATATTGGGTGTTTTTAAGAAGAGCACTCCTAATTTGCCTTACTAGATGTGTAAAGAATAATAATCAGATGTATTTATACATCTATTGGAGTATAACTTAAAAGAAGAACATGAGTTAACTGATTGGAAGTAAATAAATACAATCTAACTGGTGTTAAAATGCATATGATAACACCAGACTTCACAGCCTGCATCTTGTGCAGTTTCAATGACTCGGAAGTGCATGGCTCCTTCCGCTTTAAGTGAGGTCAAACGTAGGCGGGGCGTGGAAATAATCTTGAATTTTCATTGGCTGGCGTGTTGCTAGGTGGAATTCTAGCCAATAGCAGCACAGTGTGCAGGCTTCCCAAGGTCTGAACTCTTCCTGTTCCTCCTCCATGTAGTTCTGAGCTGAGTTTTAATACAGATAAGTGAGCAAGCTGGGCACACAAAGCAAGGGCCATTTTGTGACTTAGGAGAGCACATATGTAGTAGTACTTTATTATAAGATGTGATGTTACATAAAATCACTGCATTCTCTACTGCTTATGCTGCTGCTCTGAGTGTCCACAGTGCTCATCTATCAGTATGAAAAAGTTAGGCTGTCACCAGTAGCAGAGGACATATTTCACTCACAGCTGAAAATACTAAAATGGCTGCCACAAGATCACACAGAAAAACTACAAGTGTGATGTAACCTGCTGCAGTGTACAGTCAGTAAAATGCTGAGGGTGATTACCTGAATTTAGCATCCAAACTTCTCTGTGTCTTTATCTAAAAACACAACAGTCTATTGAGATCAGGCTGCATTATTTGATGTGAAAACATGGCAGCAATTCTAATACTATGAACTTACACTGGGCCATAGCATTTATGCAATAAATACAAACTCTTAACTAACACAAAATCTTTCTTTCCTTTAAAAAAAAAAAAAAACATAATGGGTAGCCACTTGTGTTGATTCTGAATTTCGGCATTGTTCCAACACCATGCAAATGACCTGATATTAGTTTTTTTAAACCATCTTTATTGATTAAAATAGAATGGTGTTTCCACTCGTTTTGATATTCGAAGATTCAGATACCTGAGGATGATAAATACACACTTGCCCATTTACCATCTTTATAAAAAGAAAACCAAACAATACTGTAAAAAATGTCATATATAAGTGTCAAGACTCTTGTCCACAGGCCTTTAAATATAATTTACCTGACTAGTACAAATAAAGCCAGATTTGAATAGAATATAACATTGTTTTGCTGTAACAAAAACAGTTCAAAACAGATGCTTCAATAACACATCAATCTCCATACAGCCAATAAAGAATACAAAAAGTGTTCTTTAAACTTGTCAGATACTTAAAAATGACAATAAATATATGTGATAGACTATCAATACTTAAAATATCTTGCTTAACAAGTGATTAACTAATAAGAATAAACAATCATTGTGTGTCAGGATAAATGTTTAAATTGTAAATGATCCATTGCAATAAAGGCCCGAAACAGAAAGTAAAAACCTTCTCCTGAAATCAAATATACAGTTGGAGGTTAAAAGTGTTTGTTACATAAGCAGGTGAACACCGACATAACTGTCATAATCAGTATAATATAGTAGTTTTACTACCCATCTAAAACAAAACAAAATGATTTACAAGATATTAAAATCTTTTGGATTAAAGGCTTTAATGAGCATAAATAACTAAGCATGAGAGAACTTGAATTTCCTAAAAGTCTAAAACTTTTAGTACAGGTCCAAATAAAAGATTACAGAATGATATAAAAATGAAAAATTGTAGCCACATGCAAACTGTATTAAGGTCAGAGAACTAATAACAAAGCATGTTATCTATCTATATATATATAAAACCCATCTAAAAGTCTGGATATAGTATGACCAAAAGGGAACACCAAAGCAATACATAGTTTCTGAAATAAATAAAAACCAAACAACAACGTTGATAAAATGGTGCAATGCAGTACCAACTAGTAAGACAAGGTCATGTTACTTTATAGCGATGAGACATCAAACATTTGTGACAAATCATGTGCAACACAATACAGAACAAATGGCTTTTTTCCTCTGGTCTAACACATACATCTTGTGGGCAATGATCTCTTAACACAGGCCTGAAACCTCAGTATTGAGAGTAAGAAATGATAGGAAAATCAGGGTGTGGCTATTAAACAATAGCAAGGTCATTCATGACAGTGGTGCACTTCCAACAAAACCACGTCGCAAATGTATACACAGGTGATCAACCATGCTTGACAAGGTAAACAATCAAGGCAGATATGCAAAAGGTAAAAAAAAAAAAAAAGTAAAAGCCTCATACCTTGATGCATTGCTCTGAGTCGATCCTTCATCCTCTTGCTTTTTACTTTTATTCTTCATCATCGTATTATCCTGAAAATCTTTGATGGGGTGATCTTTTGTCCTGGTATTTACTGTCAAAAAGTTAGAGGAAGCATGAACTATCATACAAGTCCCACTAGACTGCCTCTGCTCGGGTGGCAGTTAAAACCCAGGCGGTGCGACACGAGTTGGGAAAAAAGGGCATTAAATCGACAGATCTGAGGATCATTATTTACATCGCTAATGTAAAATATAGCGAAGAAAAATGACAGGTGCAGATACAAGCAAGTCAAATGTCCAACTTAGGCCTGTGTCTTTCAATATAGTCCACGGATCAAGACGCATGCAATTAATTGTAACTGCGTCATCGGATGAAGGATTAGAAAAATGAGCTTTAAGAATAACAGAATCGGTAAATAATGCTCTATACAATGTAAACAGAGCGATTCAATGTGAAGAAAAGGTGCTAACCTATAAATGAACTATTAAGATTCACGTTCGCTTTTTGTATCACAGGCTTTTATCCGACTCGAATAAAAATCAGCAGTAAAAAAAAGAAAGAAACACCACAACAATAAATTACAAAAAAATAAGGAGCTTTGTTTCAAAAAAGCTTGCAGGCCTCTAAAGTCCTTCATCTACTGTCAAGACTCAAGAGCGACAGACGCGAGCAGCACACTAAAAAATGGAGGCGCGCCATGGCTGCCAGAGCCCAGTATGGAAAACAACGACAAGCACTCCCCAGCACACAGACGGCTCATTCGGCTCGGAAAAACAGCACAAAAACCACACAAAACGCACAAATTCCCGTTAAAACACCGATCGTACGGTCAAATCTCTTGATTTTTAGTCAGAAACGAGCGGTAGCGGTCGAAAAACGGGCAAGAGAAACGGTCTGACGAAAGCCCATGGCACCCTTCCCAAGGCTCAGCCGCCATCTAGAGCTCCTTCCTAGCTCTGAAAGCTTTGCCTTTGATTGACGTTATTTCCATTTACACCACACTCAGGTGATGTATAAGTCCCACCCCTTTTATTATGTTTAAATTTTACTTTAGTGAAAATAAAACTTGTATATATGTGTTCAGCCTTTAGGTCAGAAGCTTTTAAGTTGAAACATTTCTTCCCACTTAATAAAATGTAAGAATACCGAGAGGCTGTAAATAAAAAATAAAAAAAATAGTGTGTAATTATTCTGCAGCAATTGCATCACTTCCTGCAGGACAGGAAGGAGGTCAACCAGGAGCCATTTTAGAGAGCCTTTAGAAACCATTGTGTTCTGACCAAAAGCCTTTTTTTAAATTACTGTCAGTGTATCTTACAAACATAAGTGCCAACTGTTTTGATTAAGTTGAGATTTAACAAAGCACAAGGGTGCATTTTCATCAACCTTTTTCCCCTTTAGCTCATCAATCGAATGTGAATCTCCTTTGTATAGCAACACCCGAAACAGAGAGCATTACTTCGTGAGATTCATCAACCCAGTACGAAGTTTGAACACTTAGCTAGCTTATAAATTAAATGGGCAAACCTTGTTGATAAGTGACAGTAAGTGCAATAGTTTGTTGTATAGATATTTGAAATGTTTAAATCAACAGCCGAGCTAATGGACTTCAACGTTATCAAAATATAAAACGCCAAATATCTTCTTGTGATTTGCTGGTTAATTAGCTAATGAAACAAAGCCAGGAAAAATACGAGGACATACACTTTATTTAAAAACAACATTTGAAAATCAAATGTACAAAGGCGGATTTTGGGTTTCCCAAAAACAACAATGTCATTTTTCAACAAGTCCACTATACAGCCAGCAACAGTGTTCCAGTGTCCATGTTGTCGTAAAAAAAAAAAAAAGTCCAAACGCCAAAGTCCAGTCAGAAAACGGTTTCATCTTGTCAAAATTTGGCTAACTGCCAAATCACTTGAAATCTTCACGTTAAACAACGCTGTCTCCACTTCAGCAATATCCAGTTGAATGGGGTCTTGATAGGATAAAAAAAGAGGGAAAAGTTGTAAGCCCACAGTGCAACTGAAATGAGTAATGATTCACTGTCCACCAGTTTTTAGACGGCATGCTAAACTAGACTGAAATTTAAACAGTTTAGTCACATTCATGGCTAGCTTTCAGTTGCGTTGGCTAGCAATGCGGAAGTGGACGTGTTATATGAGCGTTTGTAAGAATACACAATTGTTAAAATATTTAACGAAGTTGCTATTCTCATGAACTGTAATTTAAAAAAGTCATATCAACATAATGTATAAAATGCAAGCAACATATTTGGGTGACGTTTGTAATCCAGCATCCTTAAATATTGTTTTACAGTCAAACTTTGACGTAGCCGTTTAAGTTGCAATAAGACATTCAATACATCGTTTTAAGCAACACATGAAATAAATGAATAGATCTGACAGAAGCTCCCACATGGGGATTCTTCCTATTAACTACTACAGTAAGAAGTGCAACAAGCTATACTGACAATGTACGTTTTGTCTTTTTTTTTGTGGCTCTTATTTAATATATTATTTGGTGAATTCAAAGTAATCAGTAAAATGAGGTCTCAATTGAGTCTCCAGTAATTTGCGAATAAATTCTGAAACTGACCACCAGGGGTATGATGAGTCTAGTTAGCCTAATTCACGCCATGTGTTATGCATACAAATTTTCACGCAATTACGCAACAACAGTGTGGTTCAAACAAATTACCATCAAAACAACAAAACACTGGCATGTGAGCAAACAAAGCTGTATCCTACGCAAATTAAGATCCCATGCCTGAATTGTCAAAATGAGTCACCAAAGCAAAGACATGACTGACCAACAGATAGAAAACATAATAGCATCCAATAGGTATTAAAGCAACCCTTCAAAACAATGGCATTTTTCATACATCTTTAGTGCAAAAAATAAAATAAAAATGCCCCTCAGTGCTTCAAATGTTCAAATACGGCCGTAAAATGAAAGTAATTGTGGCATCGTATTGATCGTGTAATGTTTTTTTTATATTTAAGGCCTAAAAAGCTATCTGATATTTTAGCAAAAGTAGAGAATGTAGCAACTCTCAAGGAATGTGGCCTTTTCTGTAACGTACCAACAGGAGGCAACACAGCCAATGTCCACATAAAGCCAAAAAATTACTTCTATTATTAGCAATAATGAAATTAGCCACATGATAAAATCTTGTTATGTATGTACTACCATAAAGTAGTATATTTACATTCACAGACTTCCCCATTGTTTATGCACTCTACCTGCCAACATCTAGGTCTTTTGCTGGCCTTTACAGTTAACAGTGAATGGCAGCAATAAAGTGTCTGAGTGCAATATCCTCAACCTATCCAAATGGGATCATGGGAACAAATAATATCTAGAAATTAAAAATATATTTTTATTATATTAATGAGCTCAGTAAGCGTGTGAATAAATACTATATATATATATATTTATACATACACATTAAAAAAAACAAACTTACAGAGCTGTCTTCTTGTTCTTCAAATTTCAAAAATGTTCACACCCGTCATGTCTCCGCTGTGGACGAGATAGAGAACAATGAATGATACCCATTATTACCAGACATCAGATCCACACAGAAATAGTTAACAAGTGGATCACTTTGACCAGTTTCAAGCGCTTGTGTCTTTAAATGAAATTGATTTAGTCAACGTAAAGCCCAAGTCGAGCTCTGCTCTGGGTTCTCTGAAGAACCCACTTTTCACAGAACCCTTAAGCCTCAAAAACATCTTTCCAAATCTGACTTCACTGAAACCTTCAACACTGCAACCTCACCAATGACTCTTTTATTGTCAGCCAATGGTTGTGCTGGTTAAACCAACACTGTGTGGTTCAAAACATCCTGTAAAAGGTTTGCAATGTATGGGAGATGGGCCAATACAGCATAAATGCAACTATTGTTAGTGTTACACTTCTGGAATCTGGCTAATAATTACAACTCGTTGAGTGTCTTATTACTTAATAATAATTACATTTTATCCTTATGTCTTTAGAGGGATTTTACAACACACAGACTATTTTTTTTAAACCAGGACAGAAAAACAACGGCTGTGATGCACGATCAGAGAAGCACCCCACATTTTAACTAAGGTACGTGCAGACGTGAACCAACATGGGTCACTCTGTGTATAGTTGACAGTTCTTGAGTTGTGTGGTGCATTTATGCGCTCTTGAGAAACTTGTACATCTCAGAGCTGTCAACTGATGGCAAAATGAAAACCTTTTTTTACTTGACTTAATTCTCATTGTTGAACAAAGCAATTCATATTGCCAACTTTGTGGTTTTGCCTTGATATTCTTTTGGGGGGTTTTTAGTCTTATTCTTTAGCTTGTTCTAAGGACTCCACTTTGCCTTCACTCAAAAAAGTCTAGTAGAAAAAATGAAGGGGGCAGCCAGAAATGTGCCTGTCTCTATTCAGAGCAACTTGCTTTAATTTTGTTAGGGTAAGCATTGTCTAAAAAAAGAATATGATCCACCTTTAGACAATTTAATATTTTCTCTTACTCATTACCCATGAACTGGAGTGAGTGTAAATGTTTTGAATGTGCATTACCAGCTAGTAGGAAGTTCTTTTTTTCTGTTCCCTAATCCCAGGAGACTGTTGCTATTGTTATGTCTCAAGACATTACTTCTATTTAAAGATGGGCTTCTCTTAATTCATATTTTGGTGCAAAAGTATTTGCATTCTTTTGGCTGCAAAGAGCATCATCCATGCCAATAAAGACAGGAACTGATTATAAACGGACTTTCATTCGGCTGGTGTTTCCAGGTTGTCTGAGAATTATCAATCAAGGTGTAAAGCGGTCGCGTGAGGAAACAGTGAATGTTGTAGATCAAATGCACCACAAAACGCCCAATATTTAACTTATAGGGAAATCACGAAAGTTGATAAAATCTTTGTGGTCATGATGCCCTCTACAGGCCAGGACTCAAAGTGCACCTGTATTGACAAATTAACCAATAGTTTGTTTACAAATATCCTCGCAAAATGTCAAAGTTTGCCAACTTACAAAATGTTTTTTTAGATCTAATTTGCAATTTTTTCACAGGAAGTCTACTACTGACAGATGTGGCAGTAAGACTGTACAATGTGCTCAATCGGACACAGGGTCTATATGTTTAGAATTAGCAGCCACAGCTGAGTTATACTGGGCATCTTAATACAAGTTAAATTTGAGTACAACTCTAAAAGGAGAGGCAACATCCAAGCTTCTTAGGTAGTAATTTGCTATATGGTGTAATGAAGGATACTGTACAAAGGTCAATCTCTTTACGCCGTAGAAATGGAAGCACAATCTGACGTAACTTTTGGGAATGCATACCCCCCAAGCAACGGTAGTATTATGAAATGTCAGTGTTTTAGATATGATTGATATAAGTGCGATTTGATGATAGTCGTTTTTTAAATATGGGACTTTGTTATGACGAAAAGAGTTTGCCAATCGAGTAATTATCGACGGTTAAGTTCTTCACAGTTTAGCTGGCTAGTTGAAAGACAATCGCGAATATATTACAAATCTGGATGTTAAATATACAAGCAACGATTGTACAGATAGAGTTCAACATTGATGACAACACTTTTGGGCGCATCCTATAATCTAATCACATTTCAGCAGGATGCTTAACTGTCAAACTATTTAAATGATAAGTCAGAATCACTGAAGGTCAAAACACTCTAAAATCTGAGTTAAATTACGTAATTATTTAAAACTTACCGCTAAATGACTCCCCCAGAGTCAGGTATTTGATCACATACACATGTTTTACATTAACATTTAAAACCATGCTACATCATACACTAGATGGCACTGTCCCACGGTGAGACATGACTGTCGTTGCTTTTAGTGAAAACTAATAACGCCTGTTATAATGCACCGAAACTACATCAAGAAATTATGTTTAGCAGCATTTCCTAGTAATGTCACTCACATTTAAGTGAAAAAATACACTGTTATTCTGCTGTTTATTCACGTGTGGTCATTAAAAAGAGTCAAATCAAATTTCAATTTGAAGAGTTCAATGCCCATTTAACAATTAATCTATCTTAAAAAATTATACTTACAAGTCCCCATTGCGGTGTGAATCACTTGAGTCCTTCAATTCACGGCCCCACGGTGGCTACATGTCAACCCTTGGAAATACAAAAATAAAACAATAAGAGAGGAAACAGCACACCCTACTGGTTACATGTATCTAGCAGTAAAGACCAAGAAAATAGAAAGACTGCAGAAAACGTTTAAAACCTGGACCAGTTAAAAACACATACCATTTAGCTTGGGTCAGATTATCTCCTTTCTTCTTTGACGCAATTTGAGAAACATCAAGGGAACCCCTGCAAAATACAAAACATAATTATGATCAATTTTGTGGTCACACAAATTTGTAACCTGCGTTGGCATAGACACCGGATATAAAAGGGCTGTACGCGTTTTAAGATCTTAACATTAAGATTTGAGATCATTTTCAAGCGTATTAACATATTAAGAAAAATCGCAAATAAGCCGCTGCATATTTAATCGGGAAAATGTTTCATCTATGCGTGTCTTGGTGGTTCAAAATGCAACTAAATGTGTCTTCAACTGTAACATTCAATCGAGAATAGCTTTAGGAGGACATTTTGTTACGTGCAGGGTGGTACTAATCCTTTGGGTTTAACAATATAGTTTTAAGATATAAAAAATACCTACTATAAAAGAGTACATCATCTGTTGTATAATGTGTAGTATTTGCCTTACGTGGATAAATCAACAACCATGTCCACAAGACCCTGATATTAAGAAGAATTTATTTCTTTATTTAATTTTAATAAGGTTATTTTGAGTTTCCTCCAATTCACATACCTGTAGTGAAGCTTTCTAACATAAAAAATCCTTCTTTACATGTCTTGCTTGTGTAATGTGAAATGGGAAAACAAAATTAAAGTACATATTCAAATTACTTCTCCATCCAGTACCTCAAAGGGTTAAAAGCCAACACCCTATTTTGTATTTCGAAGTATATCTAAAGCTTTTCTAACATATAGGACCTATATTTGACAAACAAATCCAGTATAGTTTATGTATAGTGTCTGCACTGGAAGAATTGGGTTGAATAGTCATATTTAAAGCATTTTGACAACTTCTTACAATTTATTTAAACTAATTTTAAATACTAAGTATTAAGCATCCCACACTTACTTAAATCTTGTCATAAACTACATCTGTACACTCTGTGGTAAGATACTGTGAAAAATGATCGATTTTGAAATAGGTTTTTGATTTACAATTCGATGGAAAACCTCTAAAAACAGATATACTGAAAATAAACAAAAAAAATCTACTAAAGCTTGTTGAGTTGACGTCAATGAGTCTCAAATCAACATTTAAAAAACGAAAACATTTGCTCAATTTTGTTGTTTTTGTCGAACAAATTCGCACAAGGGCATTTGCCCTTTTCAAGGACAAAGCAAATTTTAAATGCGTAGGTTGAAATAACTCCAAAAAAAGCTCGAGAACAAATGTGCTTGTCAATATATCAACTAAGTTAACTCGAAACAGGGCTAGCAAACGTGCAAATTCCATCAAATAAAACACAAATAAATGCAATTTAAACTCTCTGCGTCGTTATCTTTATTCTTCGCTGACAACACACCATGGCCATTTTTACAACACTGCGTCTAACTGTCGTTCTTTCCACCATATTGCCAGACGCCCCTGATTCCCATTTTCTCAGCTATTAATGTCGGATTACTCGTAAATTCTTACCCATTTCCCAGGCCGAGGCTATCCGCCGTCATCTGCCGCGGCCAGCGTCGAGTTTTCGGGCGATTTTCGCCGTTTTGGTGGGTCTTTCGGCCGCATCGTTCCGCCCTTCCTCCTCTCCGCTGTCGACGCCTCGCTCCTCCGCTGTGTGTGTCCTCCTCTCTGCCTCTGCCTGAGCTGATATCCTTCAGCGGCTCTGCCCACTTTCCTCTCAACGTAAGCCAAACTCCACTTCCTCTCCAGCCCCATAGCCAGCGCTAGCAGCCTACTGAAAGCCTGAATATAGCCATTTAAAAATACATATATATATATATATACCTGAGCACAAAACCCAAAGCAATACGAGTGGAAATGTTCTAGTTTTATGTGGCTTTAACAAAATAAAAATGTATGTAGTTTTTTTTTGTATAGATACACACATAGCCACGTGAGCAGTAACCCAATCACATTAAGCTTTTAGTAAACGTCAGCTGTTATAAACCAGTAACCTGTGTGACCTACTGGTGTGAAACTAACAAATAACCAGTGTATAATCTTGTAAAAACAGTGATACCTTTGTGTTATAGCACGTAGTGTGTTATTGTAAATATGAAAACATGTTTGTTAAGGAGTAGAAAACATTTTCTCATCAAGAACGTTGCACAAAACACAGGTATATATATGTATATATCTATATATATATATATACATATATTTACTGTGTAATAAATACTATTAACTTGATTTGTATATATATATCTATATATAGATATATATACATATATTTACTGTGTAATAAATACTATTAACTTGATTTGTATAGCACTTATGTAAACAATGTTACAAAGTGTAATGACCCTTGTGTTTTGATTCAGCAGCCCTTCTCTGAGCCTCTTCCTTGAAACGTACTGCAGGTGCCAAGCTGTTAATAAATGATCAATAACATGTCTATTCACTGATATTGTACAACATAGTTCAAACGTTAGACTTAGTTCCTGCACCGCTCCATTTTTGGAATAAGGCATGCCATATACATACTAGTATATATGCAAACATATACAACAAAAATCTTATTAGAAAGTTGCTTCATTGAGCCTCTTCTGAATAACTGAACATGAATACTTGACAGAGAACTTGCCCAGCTCGTGGCGTAAGCACAAAACCAACGAGACTAACCATATTATTTGTTTTAACCGTAAAAAGTTTGAACAATTACATTTTGACACCCAATAGGGACAACCAAACTTGGCAAACTTTGGCTGCTCACTCAGTGCAGCCTTTATTGGGCAGTCTGAGGAGCCTGTGGTATGCACTCCACCCCCATCGGTGACCAATGAGATGTTCGACAAGACGGCGCATGCTCTTTGCAGTGGAAGATTTCTTTAAAAAGATCCTCAGCCTAGCAACAGAGCGAGCCCTGCAAGTGCATTACAAATCCAGCCATTACAAGTGAAGTGAACACAGCCTTTATACTGACTGACTGACTGACTGACTGGTTGGATGGGTTTGAATAGGGAAGTGTTGCACCGAATCTGTTAAGATCCCACAAAAGTGTTTTGCCTTTATCAGTATGTTTGCAAGTCAGCTGACTGTTGCGATGTAAAACTATGCTTTTAGAGATTTCGAATTGGAAATGTACTCTAATTGGCACAGTTGGTGCAGCACAAAGCTTAATGAATATGAAACCAAATCTGTGCTTTCATTTGGTTTCAGTTAAGGGAGGTTAAATTAAAAAAAATATTGCTATTGGTGCTAAAGGTGTGTAATAAAATGCATGATGCCACGATTGACTCAGTGAAATCATTTGAGGACTGTAATCACTAAAACAAACAGACGTTTACTTCAGTTAGTAGTCAGCAGGGAGAGGTTTTATATGGGTTTCCTATTTACAACAGTACCACCCACTGTGACACATAGTGCACTCACACTAACCTGCAAGCAGGGATCAACATTTAACATGAAACATGCCTTTGTCAGAAGGGGAAGGCGGAAACACAACCGTTTGTTTTGGGGGTTTTTTAAAGTACATACCAGGGTGTGCCTTAACACATTGCACAAACAGCACCAACAACAGGCCAGATTGCATTCATGGGTGTGTTATTTCAGATAAAAGCTGTATGTAATCATGTTACATTGCAAATAACCTTAGACATGTTGAACTGGTAGGCTTATGTTTGCTTTTCAATTAGCAAGACGAATAAGGGAATTATTTGGTGTACTAGTCAACAAACTCAACACGTCAAGACTTAAATGTAAAGTGTTTAATAGTAGCTAAACTAAAACTGAATAACCAAACGGTGTGTGGTAAGCCGGTTTAAAATAATGTAACATGATCACTGTAGTCCCACTCTGAGCTGTTTTCTCTGTGCAAAGTTCAAGCCGTCCTCTCAGAGTGTGACAACCCCCTTCAGCTTAAGGTTTATGTCTCTCAATGTGGCAACCATATCATGTTTCACAGAGGGAAAAAGCTTAAGCAATTAATATACATGTAAAATCAAGATATAGCTAATGCACAGGCACTTTACGGTAGACTATGACTACGGTTTTGTGTGTGTCTTAGCGTACAGTACACTTAATCTAAAATCTTATCTTAATTATAACCATCTTATTTTAATAGAAATAAATGTCAGCTTACATGTGTTATGTGTTACAGAGCAAACCAGTCTCTTCTGAATTTCAACCAATGCATTGAAGGGAGGTGAAGGCTCTGTGCTGCCATCTAGTGGGCTTTGATCAAATGAAACAGCTCTCACATGAGGCGGTGCATGTAGAGGGGCCATCACTCCCAGGAATAGTGTACAGAAATAAGACGAGACATCAAACCAGAAAAGACTGAAAACAGGCTGTCTTTGTGTTCAGATGCAGGTCAGAAATTCTGCATGATGCAAATTAGATTAACTGCAAGTTCCCCTACCCACAAGCCATCAGAGGAATTAGTTGCATTGGTCTACTTTTTCAAGATGTAGATTGTGAACCCAAAGTGAAATTATAAATTCATTTGACTTCTGTCTCTCTTAGTGAGGCAAACACAGAGATAGACTTTGTGTCTATAGATCTGCTGAATGATTTTGACCATCACTGATCAATTGACTGCTTATCAACCTGTCTTTTTACATCTGTCTGGCAAGATTTTCCCTGGAAACTGCGGTCGTGACCCCGCACTCTGCTGCCTTTAAATGCTGCCTTCAGGTGCTGTCGGAAATTTGCCACTTCCAGTGAACCCTACGGTGTGCAGCGAAGTGGTAAGAGATGTTACAATGATCTGTCTCACCCAAATCTTTAAGATGAGATGTCTGGGGGTTAACTGTGTCAAAAGTAGTAAAGCTAATGTAATTGTATTGTGTTACTATTTTGTCCACAAAGCACCATTAACACTATTTGTTAACATTTTGTCATTAGGAATGTTTTTTAAATGTAGAATATAATGCCTACTGCGAAAGCATTGGCTGGAAAAAAGAATAATGCACATGAATGAACATTGTTGTAATGTGAAGGCTTTAATGACCTTAATGATATTCAAACTTAATGCAGTAGTTTTAGAGTCACTATCTTTCAATTTGATCATTTTTAGACAAAAATATTATCAATAAAAGCAAATCAATGAAATAACAGCAAACTGCAGTATTGTATTGGAAAAGATACATATGATAATTTACAATAGCAGAATATACAAATAAATAAGTAAATGAATACAAAACAGCTGAAAGAAAAAGACACCTGGTTTAATAAAATATTTGAAAATGTTGAGACTCAAGAAGACGGATAGCAGGAATAAAAAAAACTCCCAGTCTCAGTTATGAACTCATTATATGAGTAATTAAATAGTTATTCTCTCTTTTTAAAGAACGTCTTCATTAAATGAGGTGCCAAACATGAACCGCTGACACAAATACTTTATGCTTGTCATGTCTCCCAACTGAAGCTGCCAACATACTTGTCCTGGTGTCTGTAGGTACTAGGAAGTACGAGGGTGCCTCGAAGGCAGCACAAGCCCACATATAATGATCCTCTTCAGCACTAGGAACAGCGGGCCAGCCTGCAGAGCTCTTCCGGAGGCGGATAATCCCCATCTCTCTACACGAAGTCCTAATGCAATCAGGAAGGGATTGCTATAACTCGCCTCAAAGGAAAAAAGAAACGTTTTGGAAGGCAAAATTTGCAAGATAGGACCTAGAAGTCCCCCATCAGGAAGAGCTCGGGCGGGCAGAGAGATGGATATTTGCGTCTCACATTTTCTTTATTGTGTATAGTAACATTTGACATTGATAAGCCGATCCTCTATAATATGACAGCTGCTGTCGCATTTCATCTAGTTTGGAGAAACTACTGAGAGATCCTGCTTGCGGTTTTTATCTTTTTCTTCCCCCCCTCTCTTCTTCTTATTCCGGCACCATGGTGACATACAATCTGGCTTTAACTTTAATTATTGCGGCTCTTTGGCGGGTCAGCGGCTCACCACAAACTCTCGTGCCCGTAACGACGCAGTTCAATTCAACGTCGTCATCATCATCCATCATCAGCGAAGATGAACCGACACATAATGTGACAGAGGCTGCCGTGGGATCCCGCATTTCATCCATAATGACCTATCTCCCAACTCTGAAAAACATTGTTATTTTCATCTGCGTGTTAACAGCTGCTCTCATCACATGTCTGGTCGTCAAAGTGATCAGGTAGGCAGGTTGATGCGACGGCTCCTCTTTGTTTTCCTGCAGCTGTAAGGCCTGTCATAACAAGCCTTACAGTGATGCAGTCACATTGTGGTGTATTGAATTCTCTCTGGTATTCCTGGTAAATGAATCGATGAGGAAGATGGTGTGCTTTATGTTATAGGCTCAGTGTGAGGAAGGTTCAGGCCTCTTGTAATGTTTCTACTGGGGATTGTAGTGTGGAGGCACTTGAGTAAGCAAGTTGCTTAATGTAGACTATTTTTAATCTTATGTGTCTGTGACCTGTGAATGTAAATCAGTCAGTATGTGCCTGTATTTATATCTTCTGATCTTTACCAGCATCTTTGCATTTATCTCTTAGAATTCATGTAATCATAGTTCATATTAGGGTTGAATCATTTGCATTGCTGATTAATCTGTGTATGTTTTGTTTTCTTTGATGAATTGATAGAACATTAAGCCTGTAAAATATCAGGGAATTGTGAAAATGTAGTAGTGTCTTAAGATTTCTTGACAAAAAAATGAAAAAATGTTTGATATTTTGGTCCCAATCGGTGGCATTTGGTCAATCAAAACATAGTTTCATCACTCTTCCTCATCTGATCAAGAAACACAAGGCCGTTAAGACTGTACTAACTGCTAGTTTGAGGTTGTGAAATCACAAATTTCACCAATTGAATCATCTCCATCTGAGTAGCCTACTAAAAATAGGTTCACAGCTGATGTTGTGGTTCAGTCAGTCAGCCTAAGTGGCGTAATGTAATTTTGTGTGTTTGTCTCATGTTTGGAATGTTTCTCCTTCCCACAGAACTGGCAGACGAATCAGAAAAACACGGAAATACGACATTATAACGACACCTGCGGAGCGTGTGGAGATGGCTCCTCTTAATGAGGAGAATGATGATGACGATGACTCAACCCTCTTTGATGTCAAATATAGGTTTGTTTTTTTAATTACGTGAAGAAGTTTCAAGCAACGGATATTCATGTTATTGTAACTAAAGAAAACATTTCATTTTCTTTTGTTTCTACTGGCCAAAACAGATTGATTGCAGGCCTAATCCCATTGACAAAGTTCTACACATATCAGAGAAGTTAGGCCTGATTTCCTATATTGAAAATCCGGCCTTTACTACTGTAAAACATAATAAGGGCATTATACTGTTTTGTAAAACGCACTATAGCCCGTTAGTTCTACAGAAATGTGTATGTTTAGTAAAAAAGAAACCTATTTATAGTAATTTCTTCTTACATTTTTAGTTTTCTCACTGCCTCTACCTATCTCACCATTGTAGTCATAAATTGTTTTAACCTTGAAGTAAAGCACCGTGTGACAGTGTTTTGACTATTCAACGCAGTTTGCTTGTGCTACTAAAGCCGCTTTAGGAGTCTCTCACGGCTTTTAGTAGACATCCATTGCACTTAAAGGTGGGGCCAGTCACTCTGGAGAAAGATTGCTGATTGTTGATTCTGCAACCTAAAGCGTATTTGATGACTTGGGACTACAAATTCCACCTGTTGCATTGTGTTGTGTGGCTCACTCTGAGCCACTTTGTTGTTTGTTTCCTATATACCATGACCCAAAGTTATACTACAAAACCCCACTGACAGAATACAACTAACTAAAACGTATAATAAATCTGTTTGCTCTTCTTAAAGAACAACACTATTTTTAAGAAACACTGTTTTAGTTCATTCAGTGTTGACATTAGGTTTCACCCTTCCGTCCTTTCTATTGTTCTTTAACACACAACCACTTCCTCAAAGGAAGATATGATGTCCTGTTTACCTGACATTCTTGACTTCCAAGTCAGACAGGACTGCGAGAGAACACATTTCCTCCTCACAATTCTGTTTAGTAACTGTGAGTTTTCACTTCTTTGCAGGTGAATCCCGGCATGGACATCGATATTTTATATCTCCTGTTTTGCCTGAGACAACTCAAGTGATTTTCTGTATTTTTGTTTTGCCAAGTCTTACCAAATCAGCAACGTCATATGCTGCGTGTACATGGCTTTTTATCTGTGTTTTAAAGACTGGAGCTGCATAGTTATCATTGTTTGCTGCTTTTCTGATGCTTTTATCATGTGGCCCAAATAACCAGCCCAGTACTTTAATATTAAATCAGGCTGTTGGAGTTCAGTCGTCTTCATAACCACTAATTATTTCTGACAGTTATTGTCATTTACATTTAATTTTTACACTTGAGCTATAGTATGCTGGGCTGAGCCGAGGGGTTTATAATAGAAAGCAGTGCAGATATTAAAATGCTGGATAAATCGCACTTTGTGATTTTTATCTTTAAATTAAAGGTCCATTTAATAGGATTTAGTGGCACCTATCAGTGTAGTTGCTGCTTGCATCGCCATCGCCTCACCCTCCCGTTCCAAGCTTGTAGGAGAAACTATAGCTGATTATCCACCAATGAAAGCATATATATGAATATTATATCCCATTTCT